GCCGGTCAAGTAGATCGCGCCTAAAGGCAGGCGCATCACCCGATAAGATCGTTTAAAACACCAAAGCTGTAACGAAGTAATTTACAAGTAACTTACTTCACAATTGGCTATAGTGCGGTAAGTGTGGGGACAGCTATCATATTGGACATCTTAGACGCAAAAGAAGACACTGGCTATGCCTCTAATACGGGGGCTGTGCCACAAAGTCTGGAAGAAAACTCGACCGAATAGTCATAAAGATCTGTTACGGCGAGGTCACTTAATACCTGATCCGCGATATCAGGTGTGCGATTCAGTGTGCTAGATGGTATATATAGCGAGAAGATACGTTCGATTTAATCGTATCTACCTATACTTATACCGTACTATACAACTATAAGATACATCGCCCTTGTTCGCGCCTTTGCCTTTTCAGCTCTTAGACAGCTGATCGAAGACTGTCCGATCGGTCCGATTCTAAAAACAGGATAAATCAACGAGATAATCGGACTCAATGCCAACATAACCTACATGAACATCAATATCATGTTGCGTGATTCTAAGGAATCGATCCAGGTCCCCATCGTACAAGGCGATAAGTCCTGCGTAGATTATCCTCGTTTGTATGTCTACTTGCCAAACGATCTACCGAGTGGCTTCGGCAAGATGACGATCCTATGCATTGACGACGAGACCAATCCTTGTCATACACCAACAACAAGGAATGGTGATCTCCTTGAGGGCTACTCCAGTTCTTTCCATACCAACAGCACGGACCAGTCTGGTATGTTCTTCGGTGCGCAAAGTCTCGAAGAGCAGCTGCAGACACTGTGCAGGTAATTTGACAGTATAATCTTCGCTTGGGGTGAGTAGGACGCATACACGTCGGGACAATGATAAGAATAGGGTAGTCATTTCTAGGTCGATGCCTGGTCCGCAGCAGGTACGGATACAGCACTCCATCATTCTCGCTGCGAGTTTCCCAGGGGATCTCGCTAGGATATCGAGATGAGGTTGGATCAGCCATCGCTGGCCGCGTTCTTCCAGTTTACTCGACTATAACACAGTCGCTCGTAGCCGACCGTCGTCTACGGTCGACTATATACTTTTGTATCTAGTATATAGGAAGCCTAGCTTTATTATAGTTAGTCTCTACTTAGCTCCTTAGCTATTAATATAATTATCTACGTAAGATCTACTATCTCGCACATAGACTATAACCCGACCGCTTAAGCTAACGGCATCCTAGTGTACTTAGTTTAAACCCGACTTCTATTCTATCTACCCGGTAGCTAGTTTAGACCCGAACGTCACACTATAGTGTCGTATTACTCAAGTACCTTAACACGGTAGTATACTAAATAAGAGCTATTAATATATAACGTTCGGGTCTAAACTAGCTATAGGGTAGATAGAATAGAAGTCGGTTTAACGTAAACCCCATGCGAGCGGGCCACCCAAGCGAGCGGGCCACCTTCACCACTCATCGCGTGCACTGCCATTCCTCGCCAATTATCACCACAATTAAACAATGGATGAACTTACAAAAGAGTCTAGGGTAATATTAGCCCTCAAAGCCCTCGAAAAAGACGCGTCATTAAGTATCCGACACGTTGCAAAGGTATATAATGTGCCTCGGACGACAATCCATCGTCGACTACAAGGTTATACGGCTAGAGCAGAAACCAAGCCTAATTCGATGGTTTTAACGATTTCCGAAGAGAGAGCGATTATTCAGTATATAATCGATCTATCATCGCGATCATTTCCTCCCCGACTCTCTGGTGTTGAAGATATGGCCAATCAACTACTACGCGTACGCGACGCGCCACCTGTCGGCAAGCATTGGGCTTCAAACTTCGTCAAACGCCACCAAGAACTTCGCACGCGCTGGGTTCGTAAATACGATCACCAACGGGCAAAATACGAAGATCCGAGGTTAGTTAAGGGCTGGTTCACGCTTGTACGGAATATACAGGCTAAGTACGGGATCCTAGATGACGATATCTATAACTTCGACGAGACGGGCTTTATGATAGGTATTATCTTCGCGGGTATGGTTGTTACGACCTCAGAAGGTCGAATAAAGGCTAAGCTAGCCCAGCCCGGGAATAGGGAATGGGCGACTGTGATTCAAGGCGTCAGTGCGTGCGGCTGGGCTATACCTCCTTTCATTATCCTCGCGGCTAAGTACCATCTCTCAGCTTGGTACGAGGGGACCGACCTTCCGGCCGATTGGGTTATCGCCACAACAGATAATGGCTGGACAACTAATGAGATTGGCCTTGAATGGATCAAGCACTTTGATCGCCACACAATCCCTCGTGCAAAAGGCGTGTATCGAATGCTTATTCTTGATGGCCATGAGAGCCACCATTCAACCAACTTCGAGCTCTTTTGCCAAGAAAAGAAGATTATCACGGTCTGCATGCCCCCTCACTCTTCGCATATCCTTCAGCCTCTCGACGTTGGCTGCTTTAGACCGCTTAAGCAGGCGTACGGACGACAAGTCGAAGATCTAATGCGTGTACATATTACGCATATCTCAAAGGTTGACTTCCTTCGCGCCTTCCGTGCGGCCTTCTCTATTACTTTTACGGAGAAAAATATACAAGGAGGCTTTGCTGGTACCGGCCTTGTGCCGCACGACCTAGAAAGGGTCCTTTCGAAGCTTGACGTGAAGCTACGCACGCTAACACCTCCTATAGATCTTCTTAAGAATACCCACCCTTGGGTCTTCAAGACGCCGCAAAACGCGCACGAGGCCAGCGCACAGTCGGAAAATATCAAGACTCGAATCTCTATCCATCAAAATAGCTCTCCAACGCCTATACTTGATGCCTTGGATCAACTAACAAAGGGGACTACAGCAGTGATGCACCAGGTAGCCCTCTTACAAGCGGAGAACGTGTCGCTACGTACGGCAAATGAGGCATTAAGTAAGCGCCGGAAGACCAAAAGAAGCTATCTACAGCATAAAGGCATCCTTACTATGCAAGATGGGAAAGACCTTATTGATCAAAAGAAGGTTAACGAACAAATTCAGGAAGAAAAGCGCACGAGGAGGCGCCCGCAGCCACCAGGCAGTCCGAAGCCTGCGCGCTGTAGCAAGTGCGCCAAAACAGGTCATAACGTACGAAGTTGTCAGGATGATGTATCAAGTCTCATTCTATAAGGCATGTTGATTTTTTTCGTTATGTTGAGTATGGTCACCCTTTTTGTACGTGATGAGTGGTGAAGGTGGCCCGCTCGCTTGGGTGGCCCGCTCGCATGGGGTTTACGTTTTAAACTAAGTATACTAAGATATCGTTAACTTAAGCGGTCGAGTTATAGTCTATATACGAGATAGTAGATCTTGCGTAAATAATTATATTAATAGCTAAGGAGCTAAGTAGAGACTAACTATAGTGAAGCTAGGCTTCCTATATACTAAGGGGATTATTGTGTGTAGTAGATAATAGTCGTGGATCATGAGGCTCACGAGGTGAGTGCGATAATCCGGATCATAGTGTTTTATAGATGATCTAAAGTGATTGGTGAAAAAAACAGTGGGTCCTTCCTCATGTCACGTGCGGGCCGCATGGCGGCGCGTGCGGTCGCATGTTAGGTCGTAACACTCCGGGTCGAATCCGGTATCTTTAGCACGCTTGAAGATAGAGTCTATCGTACGAGGGCTAATCTTCGTCTAGGCTGCGATATAAGTAGTCGAAAAGCCAAAGGCTTTAAGTGTAACTACTGAGGCCCTCGTCGCGATATCTGTATTCGGCATATTCGTGAAGGCATACACAAAAGACCTTGATGTTCATGAGGGCCATAAAGATCAAGGTGAGGGGTTGAAGGAAGGGATTACGAACGCCTAATCTTAGTGGGAAGATTCTCACCACTAAACTAGCAGGGGCTTAGGGCCTTAGCAGCAAGAACTTTTGGTACCGACCTCCGTAGTATACTCTCTAATAGCAGATTTCCCAAGCCTCTTTATACTAAGCATTACGTTTCTCGCTTATCCCGTTATAGTTAAGACCATGGGATATTTCTTATGTAATAACTAATCTAATCCGCTATCACAGTGTTTTCCGATCGCTCAGCCTATTCGCTACGCGGAACGATACCTCGCTTACTATCTATCCTCCATATGCGCCACGGCCGCTATGACCCCCACGGCGACCGCGTCACAAGGCACCTATGAGTGCGACTACGTAGATTGGAATCAATAGATTCAAGCTATATAACTGCGCTATCGTCGCTAACACGATGCATGCCTTCGCAGCTGAAAAACATCATCTAATCAGATAAGGCTGAAAGCTTGCCACAATGGCCGGCACAGCCACTAGGTCTGCCCGGGTCCAATAGCTCCTTGCGCTAGTCAGAGGGGATACGCGCTAGAGTTCTTGGCCCACTGGTTGAGTGCGGGCGCCCGCCACAGCCACTGCTAGCAACCCCCTGCAGTGCAGCCTGCTTAAAGCCACGAGCGACGTGGAAGCAGGAAGGGGACTGGAGGGTAGCGAGCTGCTACTAGGTATAAGCCGAGGGGACCCGTGTGGCTGCGTACCTTTAGGCCGCAGGTGTGAGACTACCTTCTCCCATCGATAACTGACGCGACACCGTATGCTCACATTTGCATCTATAGCCGTCTAATGGCTGCAAACCTACGACTGGAGCCAAGAGCGATGGCGGCGGCACGTGCCAGTGGGAATCAGTCTAGAGCGCCGTGGCGTTGGGTCGGGCACAGCCGCCTGATCTCAGGTAGCACAAGACTTTGCTTCAGCTGAAGTACTACACTTGCGTATTGCAGGTTTGGAAGCTCGGGCCCCGTGTCTCTAATATGGAGTCGCAGTCAGGCTGTGCAGCGTGGCATTCTCGCAGCCGCACTTAGCTTGCCGTTATCGGTCTATACGAGCTGCATCGACTCCGCGCCGGATTGCTTGTCATTCTATGATATTAAGCTGATAGCTACGCGGAATGTCCGTCATGGCTCAACCAAGCTACTTGCTGCTCTTTCTTGTTTGCTCCAAGGCCAAGTCATGATAGATGAACCGAACTCGCCACAATGGACTCAGGCTGCCCACCCTGGTCGAACTATCTCGATAGCCGTCGTCTGCGCCTTTGGCCACTGGGCTGTCGTTCTAGCCGCTCTCGGCGCCTTGTACATGCGTCCTCTGAGAGTTGAAGGCATCGATCAAAGGATTGTCGGCGCTCCCGCGGGCTTGACGGTCGGTGCTGCCACCTTGACCATTACCTTTGTCGCCTCTCTGTTGGCCTTTCTGCTCAATTACGGCGCCAAGAGCGCCCTCCAGTTGCATTTTGCCCTCCGGCTGCAGCGCAATAATGGGATCCGCAAGAATGAAGCGGACGCCGCGTGGACATCACTCAACGGCTCCTTCTTCTGCAGGCCTAACAAGTACACGCCGGTTCTCGTCAACGCTATCGTCGGTGGCGCCATCATCGCCAGCCAGTTCTCCGTCTTCACATCCTCGACGACCACGCAACGCCCACTCAACGTCACGGGCGTCAACCTGGACCAGCTCGAGGTGACCGGGTTGTCCGGCTCCGAGGACATGGTTTGGCCCTACTATAGCCAGAATGAAGTATTTGGAGTGGACACGGGCGGACAGGACCCGAGCTTCCACTACTTTTACACGGCCATGCAGAACTCCAACATCAACTTATACAGCGCCGCCAACACCAGCGCCGACGCCTCCTTCTCCGCCCTCGGCCGGATCTCCAACTCCCTCGTGAGACCTGCCGAGAACCACGCCGACCCGACTCAGGGCGGACTCGTGTACCAGCATCGCACCGCATTTGGCGCCACGGCCGACGTCGTAAAAACGTCCACCTTTGCGGGGCAGTCGGATGCTGACGATGTCGTCACCACTTGCGGGCAGGTCTTTACGAAGGACGCTGTCGAGTGCAAGTGGTACACGGCCGATACTGGTGTTATTACAGATTTCGGTATCTATAACTCCGGATTAAACGGTGGTTATTTCTCCTTCCACGACCCGGATCTCGAATTAAGGGGCCGAGATCTTAATATCTCCGACGCTCGAATGACAGCCTCTTACTTAGAGGAACTTGACGACAGCAGCTATGTCGTCGTCTTTGCCTCCATGTTTAGCGGTGACATGGCCATTGCGGTCGGCAACAATCCATCCGCTTATCCCGGGTTTGAGGTTTTGGGAGCCTCATTCGCCTTAGTTTCGGGTAGATGTGTTATTCAGGAGAATGTCTTTCGACTCGCGTCGCTGCAGTGGACACGAGTCGGCACCGTCGATGTCGCTGTCTCTGCTGCAGACGACTTTTTCTTGGGCTGTAGTAATAATCAGCTCGGTGATCCAAACGAGCCGCTGCCTCATAACACTGCTACCTCGACCGGTCGAATCATCGCAGAGCATATTCAGGCCCTCCTGACCCCGCCGGACAATGTCCAGGCAATCGGCGGGCTGGGTAGTCTGGTAAAGAGCAGATTGACTAAGGCGTTCGAAATGCCTGCCCTGGAGGGCAATGACATGCTCACCTATGTCATTACTGGCTTGCTCGCATCCGGCATGACGGCTGACTTGGAGCTTGGAACCCTCGACACGGCTCAGTCGACAGCGATAATCGATTTTGTCCGCTACGAGACGCGGTTTGGCGTGAAGGGAAGTCCCTGGGTGTTAGCGTCGCTGGCGATCCCGGCCTCGTCCACCCTTCTTTTGTTCATTTTCTTGGCTCGCATTGGGCGCAAGAACTCCGATTTTCCGGCCGACAACCTCTTTGAGCTGTCGCTATTAACCTCGATACCTCGCCAATCAGTGACACAGGAAGAAGAACGTCTAGCTTGGAGGAATAACGAGCTAGTGTGCGGTATTTCGAACTCTCCAACGGCATGATTGTCAGTGCCCTCTCTAATTACCCTGTCTGGAGGTGCCCTGATAGAAGGGGAAATATAGCACTAGCGCACCAATCTAGTGTCATGGATAGAATCACGGTCAGCTCTAACATCAGTTTCGCACATTGCACGACATAGCATATTTTAGTAATTGCGAGCATTAAACGGCAGCGAAGCCATTGACCTCATTACTATATTCACTTTACTCGTACCGCCCGCTCCTACCCACACCTAAAACTCGCTAGAGTATCTAAACTAAAACATGAAATAAAATTAAAATTGAAATTAAAGACGTCGTTTAAGATATCCTATAGGGTGACTAGTCCTCCGCCCTTTTCCCCCCGAAAAGGTAACCCCTGCCTCGCCCACCTACTCGTGCCGCGCCCCACCTCTTAGGTGGTGCTGGACACACCAACGGCCAGATCACACCAACGGCCAGATCACACCAACGGCCACTTTGATAAAGATCGCGATATAATTAACCCCTTCTAATATAACGCACACCATTTTCGTCATAAACCTCGAGCGTATCCGTGACCTTATCCATACGCCATTTACGAGCCTTTTTGGCGGCTCCTTCGGCATTCCGTTTGTATAAGTTACGTAGCTTCTTTTGGGCAGCATCCACGAGCCGTTGGGCCTTCACCAAAGCATCCTTATCGCGTTAGACCACCATATCACGGGCTTCTGCGACCGTTAGCACGCCCCCTAATTAAAGAGGCCGATTCTTTATCGCCCGGCGTTGGCGCTGCATTAATTCGGCCTTCTTAGTCCGCGATAGGCCCCTCTTTACTTATATAAGCTCTGCGGCTGTTGTAAGGGCGCCGCGGATAAAGCGGTCTATATCCCACGAAAAGTCGTTATCGAGGTCGTTATCTATCTCATAAAGGGCCTCGCTAATCCGGTTGGCCACCTTATTGATCTGCCGTAGCGTGACAGGAGTCTCGAAGTCCGATAAAGCTAGCAATAAGGGCTGTGGCGATAGAGTCCGTAGGGCAGCCTCACGCTCTTTAACAGCCCTAATCACAAGATCAGGGTCGAAGGGCTAGATACCGGTCTTCTTGAAGGCTGATTTTATCGTCTTGGCTGTGAATGCTTGTCTGCGCACGCCCTTAATTAGCGAGAGAAATTCGAGCTTCGTCACGTTAACCACGCCGTCCCGAATTATCACATTAAGAGCCTTAGCGTGATAGTGTTTTAATAGCTGGAAGATAACTAAATCTAGCGGTTGTAATCGGTGTGTGAGGTGTGGAGGAAGAGCGAAGGGGATAATCCTTTTCTTTGCGTAATAGCCGATAAATTCCTTTGTATGGTGAGACCCGTGACTATCGATAACTAGAAGACGATACGCTGATGTGGCCGCGCCGGTAGTGTGCTCGTCGAAGTGCTTGATCCACGATAGGGCTATTTGATCGTTTGAATAGCCTGATGATAATAGCGTGATCTTCGTGTGAGGGCTTAGCTTAGATAGCCGATACCACTGATCTATATGTACCTGGCCCGAAAGAATCAAGAAGGCCGGGATCACAACGCCAGCAGCAGATATATACTCTATCGCCGTGGCAGACTCCCTATTCTCAGGCATGCTAAATAGATAAAGCCTCTTACGCTTAGTCACGATAAATTAGTCCTTGCCGATACTAATCCGAAAGCCTGTCTTATCTATATTCTAAATATCTTCTAGTGGGATCCCGTATAGGGCTATAACCTAGCGTAGCCTTTCGAAGTATTCGCGCGTTCGTTATATATTCTCTATAGCCTTCCTATTAATATCAATCTTTCGTTAAAGAAGCCTTATATAACCGTGGCGCTGAATGAAGCGGGTGGTCTAACGTGTGCCGACAGTCTCGATATAGTCAGGCCCGTATCGCTCGGCTAGAAGGTTGTTAGTAGCATCCGTAATAAACTCAGCGCGTATAGCAAAGTTAATACTATTAAGACGATCGATATAGCGATAAATAGTAACTTTTCCCTCTCTTGATAGCTTTGTGTTAAAGGTAGGGCGGTTAAAACGAGTTGGCACACCGACGCGACAGCGCCTTAAGCGACCACGCGGGACATCGAATTGTCTCGCAATCGTAGCTAATTTTGCATCAGGATTTTGCTCGATATATTGAAGTGCTTCTTGAACGCGTATTTCAATAGCCGATATAGGCTTTGAACGTGTTGGCTGGGTCATTATCGCGAGAATATGTTGATCGTGGTGAAAAGTGGCCGTTGGTGTACTCTGGCCGTTGGTGTGTCCAGCACCACCTTACATGAGGTGGGGCGCGGCACGAGTAATGGCAACGGGCTCACTGCTCCCCACACGACTCCATGACCGCTTGTCCCACAAATTTCTGCCTCAAGCCGAAGCTGTTCCACGAGAGCTCAGCACAGCGCCGATGATCTGTGTTGATATTTGATATGGTAGTGATCGACGGCAATATATAGTTCGACGGACAGTTCATCATGCATTGGCGAGGCAAGGCGGCCGGTCAGGCGGCCAACAACGGCTTGCAGCAGCATCTAACGGAGCGGGGTCTTCGCAGACGAAAAACCACGAAGAAACATCTACAAATACAACACCTGCTTTATTTCCGGTTAGTACGCTAATAGCTGAGATATTCGGACTCGTTGTGAACATCGCAACTATCTTTAATCTTCTGGTCAAAGTCGGCGTACAGTGCTCATAGTACTGTGGTGGTGTTAAATCCGCCCCTCGCGACGTTAGGTATATTCTCGATAAGGCTAACAGATTAGGTACCACACTTCGCGAGGTCGACCGACTCCTTAAAGGCCCGAATAGTGAAAAACTCGACTCTTCGCAGAATATCCGCCGAACACTAGAAGATTGTCAAAGCCAGCTAAAGGACCTGGCAGCTAAACTTAACCCCGGGCCGACGTTAAAGCAGCAGCTGGTCTGGCCACTTAAGAAAGAAGAGGTTGCCGCGATTACCGAGAAGCTAGGGCAGTGCAGATCGGCAATTTCTTTCGACCTACAGGTCTATCAAGCGTACGTATTTCACGTTAGCCTCGAACTACTATTGATTACTTAAGATCGTCGCTTGCTACTATTCATTAGGAGTTTGTCCTAGCGAAACTACGCACGGTCGAACGAGCCGGCTTCAATACTCATTCCGATATCGATAACGCGAGATACTACCCCGGTACACGAACCGAGATACTAGAGCAGATATCGACATAGGGCGCCATTCCCGATAGCAAATATATATTCTAGTTAAATAGGCAGGTCGGGACAGGTAAATCAACTATCTCTCGAACCGCAGCCTAGGCATTCTCGGACTCGAAGACACTTAGCGCTAGCTTTTTCTTCAAATAAGACGAAGGTAACTATAGTCGTGCCGCGCTCCTTTTCCCCTCGATTACGGCTTAACTTATCCATCGACTACCATCCATAGCCCCCTACGTTCGCAAAGAGATCGAGTCTAACCCTAGCATTCAGCACAAACCTCTAAAAGACTAATTCGAAAAGCTCGTTTTTAACCCGATATATATAGTCGATAATTCTTTATAATCAACAGCGCTAATTATTATCTTTAACGCTTTAGATAAGTACGACAACCTCGACGACATTAGACTTATTATCTACTTACTTTCTTAGCTATAGGTATCTCCTTCTATCAGGATTAAGTTCCTCGTCACGAGCAGGCCGGAGCTGCCTATCCAGCTAGGCTTCAAAGACATTAACGGCAAGTACGAAGCTATCGTCCTCCAGGCGATACCTCTTCCAGTCATTAGACACGATATTACTGTGTTTTTGGAGTATAATCTCGCCGAGATTCGACGAGCTTACAATCAGTCTGTAGAGACTTATCGACAGGTACCTACGGACTAGCCCGGTGCGGATATACAGAAGCTTATCGATATAGCTATTCCCTTGTTCATCTTGGCCGCTACTATCTGCCGCTTCTTACGGGATCCGAGGCTTAGGAGACCATAAGATCAACTCCAGAGGATCCTTAATTAGAAGGAAAATCAAGGATCTAACTTAAATACGACATACTTACCTATAGTAGAGCGATTATAGTCGGGCCTCGCCGAAACTATAAGGCAGGAGATTATCGATAATTTCAAGCAAGTTATCGGCTCTATCGTGCTTCTAGCGGATCTACTTTCGAAAGCTTCCCTTACACGGCTAATAGGGATTTCCTTAAATATCGTCGAAGATTAACTTGATCTCTTTTACTCTGTTCTGAGCGTTCTATCGGACTAATATAGTCCTATACGGCTACTATATCTATCCTTTCGCGAGTTTCTAACCGACCCTAAGAAGGGTAGGATAGAGGATATATATCTATTCTAGGTCGACGAGCGAAAAAATCACTATAACTTAGCGACGCGGTGTCTTCGGCTCTTATCTACTCCGAACGTCCTTAAACAGGATATCTATAATTTGCGACAGCTAGGAGCAGCTCAGGCGGATATCGCATAGCAAACCATCGATACCTACTTGCCGCCTGAGGTGCATTATGCTTGCCAATACTAGGTACTCTATTAGAAGGAAAGTAAGTGTCTGATTCGGGATAGAGATAACGTTTATCGTTTCCTAACTAGCTTTCTCCTTTAATAGCTTGAAGCGCTCAGTATTATTGGCCGTACCTCGGAGAGCGTTAGTATAATAAGCGATCTAATCGGATGTTTAAGTGTGAGTTTCTAGTCCTATCTAGTACCTATCGCGCTAAGAATATAATAAGATAGAGCACGGTAATAATATGTCGGTATTTCTTTATAACCCTTAGCGTCTCATCCTTAGTTATCGATCCGCTATTAATTAATAGCCGCTGCAAATTTATTTCTCAGCTATTGTGTTTGTACCTCGGAGGAGTATCGTTCGGAATACGTTTTACGATAACTTCCTTAGCTAGTTATCTCAATTACCACAGGTGGATCTAGACTAGGATACTTGTTTAGCGACGCTCGAGTGCCACAGCGACGCGATCAAGTCCGTGGCCTTCTCGGCCGACTCGTAGTAGCTCGCGTCTGGCTCCGACGATAGGA